ACGCACGTGATGGAGATTTACCGCTGATTACAGAAGCGGCTTTACTGACAAGATGCGCATTAAATATCGCATGTGATTTATCGTGCAGCCTTAATGCAAACAAAAATTTATTTTATTTGTTTGTTGATTTTTAAATCTAAAACTTGAAGTGATTTATGTGTTGGTACTTTTTGAACATCTCAATTTTTTTTCAATTGAAGGTGATTATCTACTTCATCCCATGCTCTTTGCTCTCTGTCACCTTAAGTATCGTGATACTTTTGGCTTCACTGATGAGGAAATTCCTTCAGTTGATTCTGTGAGAGAGCGGTCCAAACAAATCAGTTCAGAGAGTTTTGCAAACCCATTTAGCCAACTCACTGGAGAGAAAGAAATGACTCAAAAGAATGATTAATTCACGAGTTATTGCCATCACTGGTTCACTTGACAAAAATGCAGGACACACATAATAACTGCTGAAATATTTGCAGAGAAAACGTTTCTCTTGTCAGTCGGAGTGCTCATGGTACCCACAGTGTGTACAGCCATTCAGCTGCACTTCTCTGGGCTCATGAACCTTTTCATGGGTAAGATATAATGTAGATGTGCTCCCCAAAGCTTACAGTTTTTTTTTTTTTTTGGTTTCCAGGAGGAGCTGATGGAGTCCAGCAGTGATGCAGAGTCCTCCTCTGAGGAAGAGAAGTCTCATGGCTCCGTCATCGACGTGGAGGACCTTGGGAATGTGATGAATCATATGAAGAAAGCCAAGGTAAAAACAAAACCAGCTCCACCAACCCTCTACATTGCGAGTAAATCGCTCGCATATGCGATTAAATCTTCACTCTGGGCGACTAAATGATGTCTAATATATTAGTCAATTGCTAATAAATTCTCAGATTTTACTCGCCAGTGTGTGAGTTGGAGGCTAAGTATAAGTTTAGCTCAGATATATTTTCACTCGACAAACACTCTCTGACAGCCAATGGCAATTCAATTGCCAAGGTGTTCGTAGAGGGCTGACTGTGTTTACTCACAGTTTGTGCATAACTGTATTTGTACGTAACTTTTGTTCTCAGCAGAAGAAAGAAACTCATGCAGGTTTGGAATGACATGAGTGTGTAAATAATGACAGAATTTAAATTTTTGGGTGAACTGTCCCTTTAGTGTCAACACAGTATTTTTGAATCTAGACATAAGCTTTGGCAAAGGGAAAGCTTTCCAAAATCGAATGGTTTTGGAATAACATGAGGTATAAGTAATTTTAATTTTTAGTTAAACTATGCCTTTAAATTTGATCTTTTCCTTGCACAGAGCTATCGTTTGACTTCAGTGGACTTGGAATGTAGCGTATGCATAGTATGGACCATTTTGCTATTTTGGAGCATGATGTGATCTCTGAGTTGTCATTGTGTGGCATGAAAAAATGACAGTGACTGATTTTATACTGACATGAGGGTGAGTAAATAATGGCAGAGTTGGGCAAACTGATCCTTTAAAAGGACCGAGTACTGGAGAGACACAGGCTATGGCTCCATTGAAGGAGACTGAGTGGCAGATGGTTTGCTACAGCAGCTCCAGCAGGCGCTGGGAGGACTTGCGTAACTGTGAACTGTGATCACTGACGCTCTAGTGTGAAGGTGCACGTCGCTTTGTTTCACACACGCAGCGAGAGAGGGAGAGACAGAATTGACGCACTACATATGTGCGCTACATGTAAACGATATTCTTTGTTGTATTTTGCTGTCAAAATAACGGAGTTCCTTTGGAATTCTTCCGCTTTTTTTTTGGGTGAACTGTCCCTTTAGTGTCAACACAGTATTTTTGAATCTAGACATAAGCTTTGGCAAAGGGAAAGCTTTCCAAAATCGAATGGTTTTGGAATAACATGAGGTATAAGTAATTTTAATTTTTAGTTAAACTATGCCTTTAAATTTGATCTTTTCCTTGCACAGAGCTATCGTTTGACTTCAGTGGACTTGGAATGTAGCGTATGCATAGTATGGACCATTTTGCTATTTTGGAGCATGATGTGATCTCTGAGTTGTCATTGTGTGGCATGAAAAAATGACAGTGACTGATTTTATACTGACATGAGGGTGAGTAAATAATGGCAGAGTTGGGCAAACTGATCCTTTAAAAGGACCGAGTACTGGAGAGACACAGGCTATGGCTCCATTGAAGGAGACTGAGTGGCAGATGGTTTGCTACAGCAGCTCCAGCAGGCGCTGGGAGGACTTGCGTAACTGTGAACTGTGATCACTGACGCCCACTCTACAGGCTTGTGCGCAGGAGTGATTCATGAGACAGAAGCGCAGACAAATCTCCCCATACACACACATGCACACTCTCTTGCATCCTATTTGCAACAGAGAGGCTGCAAGCACTAGAGCTTCAGGATTGGATGCATGTTTAAACAGCTTCAGAAGATGTTTTTAGAAATGTGGTTTGCAGCTCCAGCACTCAGTTGATTGTGGTGTTCCCGATACACGGATGAAACGGCATCCCAGAAGCTATGAATGTTTGTCAGCTGGCAGAAAATTACAGGAGAGAGCAAATGGCGATTTGAATAAACATTTTTCATTTATTTATTAAACATTTATTAGCATTATTGATTTATTTACTAAGGCTGGCAGTTTTTATGCATTAATGTAGTTTAATTGGTTATCAAAAATAAAAGCATTTGTGTTCAGAAACAGCAGTGCTACAGGGGAATGCAGGGATCTTGAGAGACATTTTTCAAAGTTGACTTCTGATGCATTGTTTTTGTGGTTCAATTGAGAATTGAGAAACAATATTTTTTTTAATGCCACAGTTTGCCACTTATATTTGTTTCTGCACAATTAGCTATGATAAGAGATTGTATTTCAACATAGACACTTTTTTTTCTATTGACGTGAAGTGTTGTCTGTCTGACTTCTGTACTGTATGTTCGAGTCACTTCTCGATGCCTGACCGAAATGACAAACTTGTAAGAACCTTAGTGTCAGCAAACACTGTTGTTGCTTTTATGCTGAGCCAGCTAAACTGATTCGTTTGGCTCTGGATTTGTTTCACATTCACCGAGGTCAGGAGCCAGGAGGAGATCTCACCTTTAACTCAGAGGAGAAACACACCGTCACTTGGATTCTGTGGTGACATGTTGTGTCTGTCAGTCACTCACATCTTCAGTTGCTATGCTGTAGTTGATTTTGCTGTAGTTTCTAATTTTTGTCATATAAGAGCAATGAATACATGTTGAAAGAGTTTATTTTGAATTTCTCAGCATATATATATATATATATATATACAGTCGTTGTCAGAATTATTGGCACCCTTGGTAAATATGATCAAAGAAGGCTGTGAAAATAAATCTGCATTAATCATTTTGATCTTTTATTTAAAAAAAATTCACAAATCTAACCTTTCATTGAACTAAAACAATTGAAAATGGGGTAAAATAGTGTTTGTTGCTAAAAAGCTAATTTTTTAGTTACATCTTACCATAGAAGCCAGTCCCATTTGAAGTGCCTGTCGTGTCTGACAACAGAATATGCTGGGGATTGTTTTTGGATGAGAGCTTTTTTTTTTCTTTAGCCACTCAAACTCTCCTCCTCACCGTGCATTAGGACGATATAGACACACGTCCTCTTCCGATAGAATCAAAGATGCCATGTATCTAAACAAGTTGTCCAGGACTTCCAGCAGAAATATATGCCCACAACATTAAAAATACAACAGTATATTTCATTGTACACATGGGGTACTTTTTATCCCTGTGTGCACCAAACCCATCTTGAGTGTTTGTTGCTAATGTGTATATATATAAGACATCATTAGATGCATGCATAATTCATATTCTTAGTGGAGTATAATTATTTATTAATCACACTGGAAGTTGTGGAGGGTCAAGTTTGTGTAGATCTGGGCCTTGCGTATGTAGAATTACTCCGCTTTGGCTCCAGATGGCATCAGAGACGTATTGTATCTTGGCTTTACTGATGCAGACACCTGACCTTGCATTGCTGTGTGATCTCTGCTCTGCTTTAGTTGTGATTTATAAATAGATGTGCATTTCTTATTTTTGAACTCAATTGATTCCTACCCCTGTGTTTCTGACCTGAAAGATAATGAGGGTAATTTAAAAGAATTGGTCCTATCCCAGCTTGATGTGCAGATACAACGCAAAGGTTCATTTGATGTATGTGTAGCTCTGTGGCAGTTTCTCCATTTTTGGAGTGAATATACACAACTAATCAAAAGTGTGGGGTTGGTTTTTTTATGTTTTTGAAAGAATTTTCTTATGCTCACCAAGGCTGCATTTATTTAATAAAAAATTCAGTAAATACAGGAATATTGTGAAATATAACTGTTTTCTATTTTAATGTATTTTAAAATGTAATTTATTCCTGTGATGGCAAAGCTGAATTTTCAACGTCATTATGCCAGTCTTCAGTGTCACATGATCCTTGAGAAATCATTCTAATATTCTAATTTGCTTTGTTTCAATAAACATTTATTACAACAGTATTTATTTAAAATAAATATCTGTTGTAACATAATAATTGTCTTTACTGTCACTTTTGATCAATTTAATGCATCATTACTGAATCAAAGTGTTAATTATTTAATTTTAAAAATAACGTTATTAATTAAAATCTTATCTTATCTTATCTTATCTTATCTTATCTTATCTTATCTAAAGGTCATGTAACTGTTAAAGCCATGTAGATTCCAACAGAAATATTCCTTTTTGTATTCCATGGTGTAGCTGCGTTCAATTTTGGAATCTTATCACATCACAAAGGTCATGTAACTGTTAAAGCCATGTAGATTCCAACAGAAATATTCCTTTTTGTATTCCATGGTGTAGCTGCGTTCAATTTTGGAACAGAGTGAGTAGATAATGGCCATTTTTGTATTTTTAGGTGAACTGTTTCTTTTAAGCTCCTTTGTAAGACATTATCCTGAAATCCCGCTGTCTGTGCGGATTAAACTAAAAGTTAATATACAAACCGATACCACCTTAGAGCACACGTTTTAATGTCATGCATAAATTTAGTGCAGGTGTGGATTGAGGTTATGCTTTCACTGCTTAGTATTAGCAAGGTGGAAATTGAGATAACAGCTCGTGGAAAGGCATTGTCCCGCGGCCACATCGGCTCGTGTGGGACGGGCGGCAGCTGGAGCGGCTTGTCGTCATTTTGGCTGGCTGTCAGTCTCAATGTGTCAGCTGCTCAGCCTGAACTTTACAGGGCCACTGCCTGCATCACCGCTGTCACTTGCATGGGTGGTTGGTGGGAAATGGAGCGTTTCCAGCTGAAGAGAGCTGCTCCGTTTCTGTCAGTCTGAAGGAGGAGGGGTGCGGAGAGCCACTGCGCTGCAGTAGGGATGAAAGCTCAGAGACGCCGAGATGAATCTTGGGTGACAGCTTGCAGCCTAGTCAACTCTACGTTGTGCGTGGCAGTTCCACGACAGATCTCGCTGTGAAAGGGCATAATGTCCACTTGCCAATCCAACCCCACCGGGTGCATTCCACCCGCTCTTGTTGTTGGATTTGCTCAAGGGACATTGTGTACTCTGGAACAAATTAACACAAATTAGTCACAGAAACACAAACAATGAAACAGTGACTGGTTTAGCACCTGTCTCTCAGCCCAGATGTTGAGGGACCTCAAAGTTTTGTCCTGGAACACAAAACAAAGCAGAGACAGTATGATGGGGCAGAGATGTGCCACTCGTAGGAAAATAGATATGAGAAAGTAGCTGTAGGAATAGAAGCCCTACAGAGACATGCTTTTTTTTTTTTTTTTTAAGAAAGATTGGATAAACTCCAGTTTGCATGCAGATTGGCTAGACCTGCATGAAAATGGATTTTTGGTGGGGTTGATTTATTTTTAAATTTTTTTATGTTTGGAGTTTAGTGTTTTACTTGATTATTATTATTATTTTTTTGTTAAAGTGATATTTTCATTTTTGGGTGAACTTCTGTCTTTAATTCCTCACCCTCATGTCTATCCAACCTGTAAGACCTTCGTTCATCGTCGGAACACAAATTAAGTTATTTTTGATTAAATTCGAGAGCTTTGTGACCCTCCAGACATCAACGCAACTGAAATGTTTAATGGCCCTGAAAGGTAGTAAGGACATCGTTCAAATAGTCCATGTGACACAGTGGTTCAACCGTAATGTTATGAAGCTGCAAGAATACTTTTTGTGTGCAAAGAAAACAAAAATAACGACTTTATTCATCAATTTCTTCTTACGGGTTTGGAACGACATGAGGGTAATTAATGACAGAATTTTCATTTTTGGGTGAACTATCCCTTTAAACCTAAATAAGCAAAAGTGCTGTCTGTTTTTAGTTTTTTATAAATAAATCTTTTATTAATATTTTAAACAAATGTAATAAATCTATTATTTAATCTAGGGCATGGTAAGAGCATGACCTTTATGTTTTTTTTTTTTTTAGTAATTCTTTTTTTTTGTTTGACACTCTTTGGTTTTATATACTGCACATTTCTTGCGTGTCCTTTAAATATTTTGTGTACAGCATCTAATGTGACCTATGGTGTCCAGCTTGCCTGATTATTCCCTTCATCTTCTGTATACAGCACTGTGTCTGAATCCGAAGCCAGACTGTCTCTGACCTTTTAGTGTGGAAAAAATAGCTAATGCCGCCATGTGTACTTGGGAAGAAATATGGAATAGTAACATTCAGGGAAAAGAAGCAGGAACTATAAGTCAGACTTGATTTCCAGCTGATTGTATATTCTGGAAACTCTGCAGCCTGGAATCGCAATAAAGTTTAATGCAGTCTGTTCACATAAGAGCGCTTCAGTGCTGAAGGTCAGTGATGGTAGTCCAAGACCTTCATCAGAACCATATGGCTGTAAGTGTTATTTCTGTTTAAACCATCCCATCGGTGCCATCATTTTCAAAGCAGCATCTGTTTCCTAGCCTGTGATTTGTGCAATCTATTACATAATTACAGTTCAATATGAGTTTAAGCTATGTGGAGTTTTTAAATGTGTGATGTGATATACGATAAATAGGAAACCTCCTTCATTAACTTTGATGCTGATGAGAAAGTAACTGTGACATTAGGCTATAGTCTGTTCGTTAGGCTATACATGTGTACGTTTTGTTTTTTTTCTCAACTGGAAATGTTTTGATAAGATGTATTTTCACTGCTGTCAGCTGAACGATCTACTCCATGGTGTTGTACAATGATTAAAACTCACCTGAGCTATGACAGAAAAATCGAATGACAGAAAAATCATTATATGCTTCTGAGTTATGCACATAAGTAAACTGAATTTAAAAAGAATCACTTCAGTTATGTACGTCTTGAATATGTTGAAGGTTCAGCCTCTTTTGGTTCCTCTGACGCACCACCACTGGTTGTGTAACTCTGACTAGGTTGTAGTAGGGCTGCACAATTAATCGAATTTCTAATCGTGATTACAATTATGGATGCCACAATTACGTAATCGTTCAAAGTCCACTTATGTTATTCCAAAGACTATAGAATACCCAAGACGTGTCACTCGTATAGTTTTGAATGGGGAAAAATGCAACACTCAATATGGCCGCTCTATCGAACGAAGCCCCGCCTTCTGAGCAAAAGAGCCTATCGCTAATCGGTAAAGTCAGCGCGTCACTGCAGCTGCTGTTAGAAGCGTCCCGGTTGCTATAGAAACAGTCAACGCTCTGAGACGTGTGATTAGGACTGCGCATGCGCACTGGCTGATCTAGCCTGAAAAATAAGCGCTTTTTTTTAATGCTATCTGAGCAAAATAAACAACATTTATGATACAGTTGTTGTCAGATTTCATTGGTGATTTCAAATATGAAATTT